AATTAATAGAGAAATCAAAATATTCGAATGATTGGCGTCAATTACTGAGGGTTTCATTTTCCCCATAATGACCCATCCTAAATATGTTTCTACTGTAGTTAAACCACACGCCAAATTGCACACTTTCCCAGTGTTAAGTTTTCCTGCTTCATCGGCTCCAATTAATAACTCAATACGCTGTCGATGATTCCCAATATCACTAAGTGAGTTGCGCTTCAGTACCATTTCTTGTACCAAGGTCCATCATGAAGTCGTGGAACAAAACTGCAAATTTTATGTTGATCCAAAACTTGCATATTACAACTATAAATATTTTTTAAATCGGTAACTTTAATAGAAAAAGGATTATGAATTTCGCTGCTTGATTTTGACCCTCCAAATAAGCTATGAATCAATTTGGTGAAATTTCGGCAGCGATAAATTTGAATCCAGTTTTCACTAAAGAAATTCGTTGTTCTCCTTCCCCATCGTTTCTCAGAAACGATAGCAGTTGCTTCAATTTTTCACAATACGTATTTTCTTGAACCATTGTTGTTGAATGACTCCTTAACTCCCTTAAAATATCTTCAGGAATGCACGATTCAACCAAAGGGAATAACATTGCTGCTTATTTGTCACTGGTTATACCTATTGACTCTAAAGAACGAAGGTAGATGTGAGGGAAGTTTTTGCTCCTCCGTCATAGCCGTATAGTTGTATAGTGGAATATATGAATGTTCATTTAGGCCATTAATGAATGAATTGAACAATTGAGTTTCCAGGAAATAATGTACAAATCGTTGAATATAAATTTAGGTTTTATTAAGCATAATTTGATTCAGATAATGGCCACATCTTCATCCAAAATAAGAAATCCCTTAAAGGGATGAAATTAGAAAAATACTCTCTATTGAGAGATCATACAGCCAGANTGCATATTACAACTATAAATATTTTTTAAATCGGTAACTTTAATAGAAAAAAGATTATGAATTTCGCTGCTTGATTTTGACTCTCCAAACAAGCTATGAATTAATGTTTGAGTATCAATTTGGAGAAATTTCAGTTCCTCAACAATGCTCTTATAGGACGTTTTCCTTCTTTACTCTCAATATTTACCATTAAAGTTTGAAGGAATATCTCTCCAGAACAGCAAGAATTCGCAAGTATTAAATTTTTACATTCACTTGAATCGATTACTTTCTCATCTTTTACTACGCTCTTGTTTGGCGATAATTTTGCACACATGATTGGCCTATATCTCTTAGAACAAATTAGACATTTAACACTTAATTTACAATATTTTGCTTTATGTCCAAACTTAAGACATATAAAGCAAACTTTCTTATTCTTAATTAGTTCTTGCTTCTGATGGTAAGCCAATTAGGCTGCCGTAAAACAATCTTTATTGTCGTGGTTTTTGTCGCAAAATACACATCTTTTATCTACCACAGTCCTCGAGCTTTTACTTCCAGAAAATATCTCATTTGCTGTTGGTATAAATAGATCAGCTTCAGTCTTCTTTTCTTTGTTAGTACCAGCAGCAATAAATTTGAATCCAGTTTTCACTAAAGAAATTCGCTGTTCTCTTTCCCCTTCGTTTCTCAGAAACGATAGCAGTTGCTTTAATTTTTCACAATACGTATTTTCTTGAACCTTTGTTGTTGAATGACTCCTTAACCAAACCCTTAAAATATCTTCAGGAGTGCACGATTCAACCAAAGGGAATAACATTGCTGCGTATTTGTCACTGGTCATACCTATTGACTCTAAAGAACAAAGGTAGGATTCCAACTTATCGTATAAATGAGTTACATTTATTCTTCTCAGTTGTTCTGTGGCATTCTTAATAACTAGACTCAATAATTCTCTGACATAAAATTTAATTAATAATTCTTCACCTCATAATCTATTATTTAAGCATTGAATAACTTTATCATAATTCTCAGCAGTGGCGAAACTCTCCACGATTTCTCTAGCTCTGGAACCACCTACGGTAGCTTGATATGAATAATGGAATTTATCTTCTTTTTCCATTTCTAGGTCATCGTGAATACGCTTAAACTGATTCCAGAATGTAAGCCAATCCTTAATGTCACCTCCGAATTGTTTCAATTCGATCTTGGGTAACTTTAATTTTCGTCTGCTTAGCTTTGGCGACGAACTAAGAAGAGAAGCCAAGGAAAGATCAACTTTCTTATTGAAATAGTCTGCAATTTCTACACGAGCGAGATCCATTTTTTCATTATATTCTTCTGTACTTGTTGTTCTATTTCAAATTCTTCATTAGTTTCAAACTACTCAAAGTACTCTTGAGTCAAGTTCATTTAATATTCCATGAAGTCATTCTAACGTGGCACTTTCAATTTTTAATACTTTATCATCTGGTAACTCTTTATTTAATTCTTCGAATAAAGTATGAAACGTTTTGATAAAGGAAGCTCTTAATATTACATCCATCCTTAACTATGATATCAAACTTAGCTTTTAATTTTGATCAATGAAATAAATCGCATAACAAGCGTATTTATAGTAACTAACCTGTTACTATTGCCTTTTATCACGTCCGGGATCACCACAAATGTTGAGTACGGCAAGAAATTATATCCTATTTCTTCCACTCCGATATTTTATGTAACCAAATCCTTAAAAGAAATACAAAATGTTCTACAGATTTCTAAACATAAACTAGAGTTCTATTGTACATGTTAAGGCCTGTTTACACGATTCAAGTTTTACGTTCAAGAAGCGTTCAAGATTGATTGATATTGATGGAAATCTGTTTTCATCGATGTTGTACCGTGTAAACGATTCGTTCAAGATCTTGGATCCACTTCTTGAATGTAGTAGCGCATGTTCTACAAGACATTCAATTTTTTCTTCTCCCAGCCAATCATCTTTTAGAATTTTGTGATGTCATAGGAAAACGTCATGAATAGCGGGAGGTATTTGATTTTTACGCATTCGCCGTTTTTTTTACTTTCTACGGGTCCTGTTCAATCGTTTTAAAAAATTTTCATCTGGTGTGTGCTTTTTCGTAAGTATTTATTTGTATTTTAAATTCATATTTCCTCCCTTAATTCTTACTTTTTTAATAAAAATGCCATTATTTGTACCTAGATATTTATAGAATGGAGTGGACTCAGGATCAAGTTTTTAAATTAATAGAAGAATACCGGGAAAGACCCCAATTATGGAATAGCAAATTCCCGGAGTATTCTGATAAAAATCTGCGCCAAAGGCATCTAGAAGAGTTGTCTTTCCTATTCGAAACTGATATAGAGACCATAAGAAATAAAATTTATGGGTTGAGAACTCAGTATCTTAGTGAACAGAAAAAGGTGTTAGATTCTCTAACAAGTGGAAGTGGTAATAAGTTGAATACTTTAATAATAAGAACTTATAATTTTTGCATAAATTTTTAATTCCGTGGCCTTCTTTTCTTTTAGTCTCTTATACATTTCTATATTTTTTTTCTAAANAACTCTCCACGATTTCTCTAGCTCTGGAACCAACTACGGTAGCTTGATATAAATAATGGAATTTATCTTCTTTTTCCATTTTTAGGTCATCGTGAATACACTTAAACTGATTCCAGAATGTAAGCCAATTCCTAATGTCACCGCCGAATTGTTTTAATTCAATCTCGGGTAACTTTGATTTTCGTCTGCTTAGCTTTGGCTACGAACTAAGAAAAGTCAAGGAAGGTTCAACTTTCTTATTGAAAAATAGTCTGCAATTTTTACACGAGCGAGATCCATTTTTTCATTATATTCTTCTGTACTTGTTGTTCTATTTCAAATTCTTCATCAGTTTCAAACTTTTTTTCTAGTACTCTTGAGTCAAGTTCATTTAATATTCCATAAAGTCATTCTAACGTGGCACTTTCAATTTTTAATACTTCATCAACTGGTAACTCTTTATTTAATTCTTCGAATAAAGTATTAAACGTTTTGGTAAAGGAAGCTCTTAATATTACATCCATCCTTAACTATGATATCAAACTTAACTTTTAATTTTGATCAATGAAATAAATCGCATAACAAACGCATTTATAGTAACTAACCTGTTACTATTGCCTTTTATCACGTCCGGGGTCACCACAAATGTTGAGTACGGCAAGAAATATACCCTATTTCTTCCACTCCTATATTTTATTTAACCAAATTCTTAAAAGAAATACAAAATGTTCTACAGATTTCTAAACATAAACTAGAGTTCTATTGTACATGTTAAAAGTTATTGAAAACATAAGAAAACGCTTTTACCTAATTCTCCATAATAAAAAAATTATCAAATTCTTATTTCAAACGTAACAGTGGTTATGAATATGCTTGCCTCAACCAACACAATAGAAGTCAATAATGAGATGTTTATATATTGCAATATTGGTCCTAGAATGACTTTCAATAATAAACCGATATCATTTTTATGTAGGACCCTTATATTTTTATAATAATGGGTGAAAATTAGTGTTTCTAGATTTTTCAATATTGGTCCCAGAATGACTTTCAGTAATGTACCATTATCAATTTCAATGTAGTACCATTATAAATTGCAATGTAGTACCATTATCAATTTCAATGAATTAGTATTATTCTTAATGTAGCGTTACTATTGAACACTCCAGCCCGGAAATTTCACAGGAGCGAGAAATAGAGGGCGAAACCTCACCCCGTCATTTTCACGGGAGCGACCCACGGTGCATGTTCTTATAACCAATTGTTCCTTTATTCATTTATTATATTCCTTTATTAATTATGTTTCTTTAGCCAATTTCAAACCCAACTGACGCCGATGTAAAATTGTTGCTAGGGTATTTAAATTTTTAAATTGTTTATTAACTGTTAAAAAAAAGTGCGTATCAGTATTTATGCTATACGCAGAATTGTCTGTCGAACTATAAAAAAAATTTGAAACAAAACACGATGATTAATCAACAGAAAAAAAAATGTATTCTTATCTGTTTTCATTTATCTGTTTGAATTAAGATTAAAACGAAACAAAGATTTAAATTTCAAAACTATTATGTTTTAATTTTAAATAAATTCGAGTATTTGCTTGATATTATTATTGTTTTTTTTTTACTTAGTAAGTTAGCACGTGAATGTTATTTTGTTTTTCGGAAAGAATAATTCTGAAACATGCTACCATCGGACAGGAAGGTACTGTAAATTTAATGTTGTTCAAACTATTTAACAAATTTAATAATAAAGTATTAAAGTTTTCACTTTTGAATATAAATTTTTGAAAAGAATAACTTGATTTAGCGATATGTTACTATTTAGTAAATTATTAGTTTTATTTACTAAACCAATTCAGGTGAATTATTATCAATTCAGGTGAAGCAAATTCAAATGCAATATGATTCACTTTTCATTCTATTAATTTACCCGTGCTTTATGTAAGTAGTTAATAACACAAATATATGGTATTTTACTTTTTTTTCCTTCTGTTTTTCAAACGTTTGTTTTGGACCGTGTGCAATTAAAACTCCAATTCAATTATTAGTAAAATTGTTTGATAATTTTCAGTAATGAAGTGTATGTGACTTTTGAAATTAATATGTTACTTTTTCGTTGTATTTTTTTATCAGTTCAATAAAGCATTCCCTCTTATTAAATGATACTATTTTTAAACTCCATATAAATAAAATGTCCTAAAATAAAATACAATTTTGCATTTGAAAACAGGCAGACTCAAAAATTTAAAAAGTTATTATTAATTGAAAATTTTCTGAAAAGATTTTGTAGAGAAAAATTTATGCACACGAGTGTTCTTTTTTGAAGTTTTCTACTTTTTTTAAAATTTTGTGTCAGATTAGTTTCTCCACACACCCCCCTCCCCAGGGTAACGCAGTGAACAAGAACTGAAAATTTAAATTTTCAGTTAGTAACCAGTGGCCGGTAGACTCTAATAACTCAGTAGCCACTCTTTCTTATAACATAATGAGTCGGTGACTCATACTGATAGGACCTTTTCATTTAATAGTCACTTTTTTTTTGCCTGGATAAAATTTTATTTAAAAAAATCCTATTTGAAATAATCTACGGCTATAAAAAAGTTAATTCAACAATGAAAATAATATAAATTTGTAACAAAATGTAGTTAAACGTAATGATTTTAAAGAAAATATTTAAAAATATTTAGGGAGGCAAAATGCATTTAACGTATACATCACAATTTTGAAATATGTGAATTTTTAAGGAACTCTCCTACCGCATGAATCTTTTCACACAAATTGATGAATTGTGAAGAATCAAAATTTTAATGGATACATTATTGGGCATCTTATTGAACGGGGAAAAAGTCAATCATCATCTATCAAATAAAAAAAGGTATCATACTATGTAGGGTATTCTATGCTATCCCATTATTAAAATCCATCCTACTATGTTTGGTATGCTATGTTGGTCCATTTTAAAAATCCCTCAGTGGTTCAACAGGAAAGGGTTCTAAGTCTTAACTGGGGATGTGGAGCAGATTTAATGGTCCCATCAAGTTGTATGTTGGTTTTTGATGAAAATTCACGATGGTAACCATTACATTTATGTTGTTTCATCAATGGAAAACCATCGAGATATTTTGTTTTTGGTGACTGGAAGTCTCTCTGCCCCTTATTCCAACCCTCGTAGTTGTTTCTCATTCATCATTGTCGTTTTCTTATAAGTAGACAAAAGAAAAAGGCTATTATATTTATAATTTTATGTAAGCACATTTTATTAATATGTTAATCGTTACAAATTGAAAAAAATTCTCGATCAGTTGATGACCTGAAATAATCACTTTAAAAAAACGATCATTTTGTTAATAAAATCGTAACAAACTGAACGATAACTTGAATTTGAAAAATAATCAACTGTACTTGAGAAAAATTTCACTTAGGGATATAGAATGTTCGAGACAATAAGAATTAATAAATAAGAATTGATTACTTATTATCCATATCTAACTATATAACCTTACATTATACAACTGTTCACTTTGCAAACAGCTCTTATCTCACGCCAGTCTTAATATTTTCAAAACTTTCGAAATAAATATTAAGATTTATATCTGGCGAAATACAATTTCTTTTTCTCTCTTATTTATTTTTGTTACTTTTGACATCAAGGCAAGTGCGAGCTTATATAATGAAACTAGCGAGAGACAAATTTTTCTACAGCAATGGGTAAATAGTTGATAAGTTTCAAAAAAGTTTAAATGTCGAAGAAAAAAAAATTGCTGATTTCATTTTTAATTCTAAATAGTTCAATCAGATCGTTAAATTAAAATTCTGTAGTTGCATTTCAGAGGTCTGTAGATCAGCCAACATGCTTTTTTCTACTACAAGTGTAACAGCTAATAATACTAACAGTTAATAACCAATAATTGAATCATAATTGTTTTTATTCCATCGAATTCCTTGCACATTTTCGCAGTTTCAAAGGTTTTGAGTAGAAAATAAAGTGTTGCATATAGCAAAAAATTAGTACGAATTCGCAAAATACTCTTAAAATTATAATAAATTTCAAACAAATTGGAATATTGGGGAAAAAACTATGTTAGTTCAATGAACAAATATGGCCCTTTTAGTATACCAAATTTCAACCCTACAGTTGCATTCTTGCGGCCGGTAAGGGAATTTTTCCCCTACAAGTTTAACAGTTAATAGTTCTAGAACTGATAATCGAGTGTTCATCATAATCCGTGTACATTTTTTTTTTACACAAAGTAGTTTATTTACACATAGTAGTTTCAATATTCAAAGTAGTTTCAATAATTTCATTAACTGCGGCGGCCTACGCGACTTTTCAATGTAGAGAGTGATACATTATACAATCTTACTAATGTTAGAATACTTTACAAAAGAAATTATATTGGGGAAAAAATTCTAATTGCGAATCTGCATAGAAAATGTACCATATCTGAAACAGGATTGTTACACAGCTTCGCGTTAGTTGAGCATTCAACGATAATTGCTAAAAATATCAAATGTCAAATTATTTTTAGTAATTAGAGTTTTTGGTTATTTCAAGTGAGTATTTGGTAATGCTTGTAATTTTTACCGCTTTTTTGTACATCCTATAGTACTGATAAAATAATAGTAGTTAAAAAATTTATACTTACGCTTACGACTGAAAAAAATTCATATCTTTTAAATTTTTTTCTTCGTTATCTGTAATTTGTTCCAATGTGATGCTGATTTTTCGGTAGACGGAAAAAAAGGTACGGAAAGAAGGGTCCCGGTAAAAAAGGTCCCTGGAAAAAAAGGTCCCGGAAAAAAAGGTACCTCCATAGGGAAAATCTGTAGGGATATTTCCCCTCTTGCTTTCTGGGCAGCATGAATGCTTCTCACTGTTTCAATGAATATTCTTTTTATCTTTAATAATTCAGAATAGATCATTGAGGTAAGGAGAAGGGTAGGGGGGGGGGAGACTTATGGGGCTGGTTGTATTACGCTTTTTTTTTTAAATTTTATTTCATTTATTTATTCCTCTTTGATTATTTTTTAAAGCGGGAAGATAGTATTTAAATTTTTCAATAATGTTTTACTTTTTTTTGTAATTTTTTTAAGTGAAAAATGTGTTATTTTCTATTTTAAATTATATTTTGTGAAGAAGTTGCTAATGTGAGGCTTAAAGTAGCCAATCGGGGAAGTTGGGAGAATTTATGTGTTGGATGTTTATTCGTGATTGGAGGTGAAAGTATTGGTCCTTTTTAATTAGTTAAAAACGCGCGACACGAAAAAAAAAAAATAAATCTATTCTATTTAAAATCTAAATTATCAGGTGATACACTATACAGCTTTATTGTTTCTACGCGACTGAAACCGGTTTGCACTTGTCTACGTTCGTGTATCAATGGGTTAAATTAGACGATGCATAAATACGACACTTGGATAAAGTATACGATATATTATATAAATATAGAATATTTATTATATCAATATATTACAATAATTAGACCAAANTATGAACTATGTTTATGAACGGAAATAATGTGTTAATTACGTAAAGTTTGAAAGCTAATAACCAGAAAAAGTCTAACTTATTTTTACAAAGAGAAAGATGTAAAGTTATCATAATATCTTTGCTTGCGATCGCCGAGATCTGTAGACACAGTGACGTCATGAGGAGGGAAATCGTTGCTTCAGCTCTAAGAGCGGAGTGAACTAGCCCTTCTATTCTCTTTAGCCTGCTGCTCTAGGACATCCTTTATATACAGTCCACTGTAAAGTGCTGCCACCTGCCTTCTGTGATTGGTTATTTCACGTTGACGTCGAAAGTAGGTGGTGGTCACATTAATGTGACTGGACTGTGTAATATACTATTATAATGCTTGATATAATAAATAATCTATATTTATATAATATATCGTCTAATTTAACCAATTGAAACACTAACGTAAACAAGTGCAAGCTGGATTCAGTCACATAAAAACAATAAAGCTGTATAATATCACCTGATAATTAAGATTCTACATAGAATCTTACAGTACGTCCAATAATTTGTCCAGGGACTGTACATGGATGACTCGTGGGTGTGATATGAATATGCTTGCTTCAACCAACACTCTAGAAGTCAATAATGAGATGTCTATATCTTGTAATATTGGTCCTAGAATGACTTTCAATAATGGACAAATGTCATTTTTTATTTAGGACCCTTATATTTTTATAATAATGGGGGAAAATTAGAGTGTCTAGATTTTTCAATATTGGTCCTAGAATGACTTTCAGCAATGTACCAATTTCTATGTAGAATCTTGATAGAAATGAATATATTGAAAGCCATTCTAGGACCAATATTAAAAAAATCTAGACATCCCAATATTTGTCCCTCGGTGCATGTTCTTATAGAACCTTTAGCTAATTTTGAGCCCAACTAGGGCCAATGTAAACTTGTTGCTAGGATATTTAAATTGTTTAAAATAAGTGCGTATCGGTATTTATGCCATTTATATTATAAACAGAATTGTCTGATGTAGGATAAGAAAATTGAGAACAAAAACAATGATTAATCAACAGAAAAAATATTCTATTATTATCTGTTTTCCTTTATCTGTTTGAATCAAGATTAAAACGAAATAATATTTACATTTCGAAACTATTATGTTTTAATTTTTAAAAAAATTTGCTTGACATTATTATTGTTTTATTTTACTTAGCACTGTGCGTTACTGT